GCAGCCCCGTTGTAGCCGCCGTCGTGCGCCTACCCGGCTCCCGCCCGCCGAGCGCCGGCCCTGCTCGCCCGGCGAGCGCCTGCCCTTCCCGCCACTAGTGAGCACCTACCTTGTTCACGCGCTGCCGCACCATCTGCCTGCCTGTTTGCCTGCCTGCTTGCCTGCCGCACCTGCCGCACCTTCCTGCCGTACCTGCCCTGCCCGCGCTGCTACTGCTGCTACTACTGCTATGTTTGTTACTGTTGCTAGGCTGCTGCTGCTGCTGCTGCTGCTGCTACTGCTGCTACGTCTGCTAATGCTACTACTGGCAGTAGCCAGATGCATCTCCTGCGACGTCCACGCGAGTCTCTCACACCCCAGCAGCTTCATGAGTGGTATGCTAGTTGGGGTTGTGGCGGTAGCCGTCGTAGCTGTCGTCCTGGAGCTGGTCAGTTGGGAGCGTCTGGCAGTGGCCACCTGCAGCTATAGCGGCGTCCACGCGAGACACTTACATCCCAGCACCTTCACGAGTGGTACGCTCAGAGTAGAGGGTCTCGGAGTACCGTTCGCTTCCCGTACGTCATTCGCACAGGTGATCGGGCTGGTCACGCTTGCGGGATGCTTGGTCACACACAGTCCCGCTGCATCGCCCGTCTGAGCGACGCCTGGCGTACCAAGTTTGGCGACGAGGCTGAGCTCCCCACCTGGCTGGAGCTGCTTAGGCACAGGGTAGATATCTTTGCTCTTGACTATGATGCTATTCTCACTGCCATGTATGCATTGCCAACTAGTGCTGACGGTGCCTGTTACCTGTGCGTACCGCCTGACCCAGGTATAGAGCTTGCTGCTCTAGGTACTGGTGAGGCTGCTGCTCTAGGTGCTAGTGCGTCTCTTGCTCTAGGTGCTGGTGAGGCTGCTGCTCCAGGTACTGGTGAGTCTGCTCTCTCTGGTACTGCGTTTGGTGAGGCCTTGTACATCTTCACACTTGACTCAGGTGCTTCCCGCTCCTTCTTTCGCGACAGCACCACCCTCACGCCGCTCAGTCGGCCGATTGCAGTCTCCCTGGCAGACCCCTCTAGGGGTCCAGTCCTTGCGCACTCCTTCACGGTCTTGCCGTGTCCGGCGGTCCCGTCTGGCTCCCTGTCAGGTCTTCACCTCCCCTCGTTCTCTACGAACTTGGTGAGTGGTGCTGACCTCCAGGACCAGTGGGTTGACCAATTCACTCCTGGAGGTCAGCGCGTGACCCATTGTACGTGCTCCCAGACAGGCCGGCACCTGACCACGTTTACCCGTGCGCCTGGCTCGAGTCTGTACACACTGACTACTTTGTCCCCTCAAGTCGCTGCGTCCGCGTCTACGTCAGGTCAGCTAGCGGCCCCCTGCTCGTGTCGCGCTTTGTCGCACCAGACCCTCCTTTGGCACCACCGACATGGTCACCCCTCAGTGCAGCGCCTTCCTAGCATGCACCGCCGTGCCCTTGTCTCTGGTCTTCCCAGGGTTCTCCCTCCCCTCCCTCCCTCGCCTGCTCCTCCTTATCTTCCCTGTGTCAAGGGCCGGCAGTGCGCCGCTCCTCACTCCTCCTCGTTTCCCCCGACTACTGCTCCCCTCTAGACCCTGCACATTGACGTGTGGGGCCTAGCCCGCGTCAGTGGGCAGGACCGCGAGCGGTACTTCCTGCTGGTTGTTGACGATTACTCGCGTTACACCACGGTCTTCCCCTTGCGCACCAAGGGTGAGGTCCCTGATGTTTTGATCCCTTGGATCCGCGCTGCCCGTCTCCAGCTCCGCGAGCGGTTCGGGACGGAGTTTCCCGTCCTGCGTCTGCACTCTGACAGAGGTGGAGAGTTTTCCCTCGACCTCCTACAGAGCTTTTGTCGTGGGGAGGGCATTTGCCAGACGTTCACGCTTCCGGCCTCTCCGTAGCAGAATGGGGTTGCTGAGCGCCGCATTGGCTTAGTCATGGAGGTCGCTCGTACCTCCATGGTCCATGCGGCTGCCCCCGATTTTCTATGGCCGTTTGCGGTCCGCTACGCCGCGCATCAGCTCAACCTCTGGCCCCGTGTCACCTTGCCGGAGACCTCGCCCACACTGCGGTGGACGGGGGAGGTTGGCGATGCGTCGGTGTTCCGGTTCTGGGGTTCTCGTGCCTTTGTCTGCAATACAACCGCGGACAAGCTCTCCGCCCGCGCTGTTCCCTGTGTCTTCCTTGGTTTTGTCCCTGACGCGCTTGGTTGGCAGTTTTACCACCCCACCTCGCACTGTGTCTTCTCCTCTCAGGACGTCACGTTCGACGAGTCGGTTCCCTTTTACCGTCTATTCCCCTACTGCACTGCCCCTCTCCCACCCCCGCCGCTCTTCCTCGCACCAGGTGCTCCCAAGGTAGCCCCCCTCCTCGCTCCCGGTCCTGCTCCTTCAGGTGTGTCTCAGGTAGACCCTCCTCCCTTGACTGCGTCGATTGAGGTCACTGGTGACTCAGGTCCTGTTGGGAGTGGTCCTGCTCGGGGTGCTGCTTGTGAAGGTGCTGAGCCTGGGGGTGCGGAGCCTGGGGGTGCTGGTCCTGGGGGTGCAGAGCCTGGAGGTGTTGAGCCTGGGCGTGAGGAGTCTGGGGGTGCTGCACCTGGGGGTGCTACGGCGTCTGGTGAGCAGTCTCCCTGGAGCGGCCGTCTCCGTAGTCGCTCTGCTAGTGCCTCGCCACTGCACTCTCGTCGTCGTCTCCCTCTCTCCCCACAACAGCTGCGAGGGGTACGTTAGCCGTGAGGGTCGCACTGCTGGAGCTAGGGGCCTTGTTGCGGGAGGCGCTGGAGCTGGTGACTCTGCTACTGGAGTTGTTTCTAGTGGAGTTCCTGGGGCAGCTGGTCCCAGAGGTGCTCGTACTGGAGGTACTGGAGCTGCTGGGGCTAGAGGTCCTGCTGGACTTGGAGGTGCTGCTGTTGACTCTGAGGTTGGAGGCCCTTGAGCTAGGGGTGCCGGTTCTGGGGGTGCTACTGCTGGTGGCGCTAGAGCTGGAGGTTCTGGAGGTGCTGCGGGTGCTGGCGCTGGAGGTTCTTGAGCTGTTGGAGGTGCTGGCGCAAGTGGCGCTAGAGCTGGTGTTTCTGGAGCTGCTGCGGGTGCTGGCGCTGGAGGTTCTGGAGCTGTTGGAGTTGCTGGCGCAGGTGGCGCCGGAGCTGGAGGTTCTGGAGCTGCTGCGGGTGCTGGCGTTGGAGGTTCTGGAGCTGCAGGAGGTGCTGGAGCTACAGGTGCTGGTGGCGCTGCGCCGCCGCGATTGTTCTTCGCTCCGCCGTCACCTTCATCTCTGCCACCGCCTGGCTCCGTGCTTCGTCAGGTTCTTTGCCTCCCGTCTTCTACTGGTCTTCTGTTACAGCCTGGCTCATCGCTGCCTGCTCCTTCTCCTTACACTAAGCTGACAGGCGGTCTTGCTGAGCGTCGTGAGCCTGCGTCTCGTCCTCTCTTGCCTGTTCGCACTGTCCACACTGGTCGTACTGGTCGTCGTGTCACTTGTGAGCGTCCGCCGGCTGTCCCCGGCACACACCTCATGGCCCTGCGTCCTTCCTCTGCTCTGCAACGTGTTCCCTTGCCGTCCCCTCCTGCGTCTTCTCTATCTGACGGTCTTGAGCCTGAGTCTAACCACGCTCGTGCTGCTCACCCTACTGTCATGCGTCTGCTCGCCAGTGTTGTCACTGACCCGTCGTTTGAGTCTACTGCTGCGTCTGCCTTACTCGCTGAGCTTGTTGACTTTCCTGTTCCCTGTCGTCTAGACTACGCCGCTAGTCTTGTTGCTGAGTCTGAGTCTGTCTGTCCTCCGTCCGTCGGGGGTGAGTGTGCTCTTGTCACAAACGTCCTTGAGGACAGGCAGGAGGACCTTGAGTGTCTTGTAGCCGCTGCGCCTCATCTCGTGTCCATGCTGCTTGCCCTTGAGGGAGACCCGGATGCACCAGACATCCCGACTCCGCGTTATTACGCTAATGCGATCGCGGGTCCCTACTCCTCTCAGTGGCAGACAGCGATGGATGCAGAGATGGCATCCTGGAAGTCCACAGGCATTTACGTCGACAAGGTTCCCCCTCCTGGGGAGAGCATCTTCGATGGCATGTGGATTTTCAGGGTGAAGCGGCCGCCAGGTTCTCCGCCTGTCTTCAAGGCTCGTTACGTTGCTTGAGGCTTCAGTCAGCGGGAGAGAGTCCACTTCTTCCTGACCTTCTCCCCCACCCTGAAGATGACCAGTGTTCGGGTGCTGCTGCACGTTCTCGCTCAGCGTGACTACGAGCTTCACTCTCTTGACTTCAGCACAGCCTTTTTACAGGGCAGCCTGCACGAGGAGATCTGGCTGCGCCGCCCACCTGGCTTCACTGGGTCGTTCCCTCCTGGTACCAAGTGGAGCCTCCGGCGGCCAGTCTACGGTCTCCGCCAGGCGCCCCGTGACTAGCATGACACACTGAGGACGACCCTTGCGGCTCTTGGGTTTTCTCCTGCGATTGCTGACTCGTCGCTGTTTCTGCGCACCGACACCTTGCTGCCACCGTTCTACATCCTCATGTACGTCAACGATCTGGTCTTTGCCACTGCTGACACTGAGGCTCTCGCCCTTGTGAAGTCGGAGCTGTAGAAGAGACACACGTGCACAGACCTGGGTGAGCTGCGCAGCTACCTTGGCTTGCAGATTACCCGGGATAAGGCATGCCGCACCATCACACTGACTCAGTCACACATGGTGCAGCAGGTCCTTTTGCGCTTCCGCTTCACCTGGTCCTCGGCACAGGCTACTCCTCTGGCTACAGGTGACTCGCTCTCACCTCCACCTTCGGACGAGTCCGTAGAGCCGAGTGGTCCTTACCCAGAGCTAGTGGGGTGCCTCATGTACCTGCTGACCTGCACTCGTCCTGACCTTGCGTACCCTTTTGGCCTTTTGGCTCGCTACGTGGCTCCTGGTCGGCACCGAAAGGTGCACATGGATGGTGCTAAGAGGGTACTACGCTACTTGTGCAGTACATTGGGCATGGGGCTCGTGCTTGGAGGACGGAGCGATGTTGTCCTCGCTGGGCACTTAGTCGCTGTAGGAGCCTCTCGTGGTGACCCTCGTACTCCCTTCTTTGAGGGGTGTTCCCCCTCCCCCCTCCTGCCATCTGTTGCCTCTGCTGCTGCGGCCGACCTCGTTGGCCTCGAGTCGGTCGGAGCTGCGTCTGCCCCTAGCGGGAGACGCCGCACCGGCAAGGGCAAGGGGGGCAAGGGTGCTGGAAGAGCTGGCGGGGGCGGTGGAGGTGGCAGTGGAGGCGGTGGAGGGGGTGGGGGTGGTGGTGGGAGTGGTGGCGGGGGTGGGGGCGTCGGTGGCGGCAGTGGAGGCGGAGGAGGCGGCGGCGGTGGTGGTGGGAGCGGAGGAGGCGGAGGTGGCGGCGGTGGCGGAGGTGGCGGCGGCACCGGTGGGACTGGTCGGGGCGGCTCTGCGCAGAGGGGCGGCTCCGGTGGTGGTCAGCGCCAGCAGCAGCAGCGCACTCGTGAGACCCCGTCCCCCCTTGTAGCTTAGTGAGTGGTACGCTTCGCGTCAGCGGGGTGGGAGTGCTGGTCCCTGTACCTACGTCCTGCATACCGGCGACCGTACGGGTGAGCAGTGCGGGGGCCTGCACCCCACCCAGCGCTGCTTTGGCCGCCTAAGGGACGCCTGGCGTCTCCAGTTCCCTGACGCCAATGAGATCCCTCGCTGTGGAGAGCTGCAGAGGTCGGGGATTGATGTCTTTGATCTTGATTATGATGCTATTCTTGCTGCCATGTATGCTGTGTCTACTAGTGATGAGGGTGACTGTTACCTGTGTGTTCCGCCTGACACGGGCATTGGGACTGCTGCTCTAGGTGCTGGTGAGGCTGCTGCTCTAGGTGCTAGTGAGTCTGCTGACCCAGGTGCAGGTGAGTCTGCTCTCTCAGGTACCACGTCGGCTCAGGCCTCCCAAACCTTCACCCTTGACTCGGGTGCTTCCCGCTCCTTCTTTCGAGACCGCACCACACTCACGCCGCTTAGTCGCCACTTGCGGTCTCCCTGGCAGACCCCTCTGGGGGTCCTGTCCTTGCCCACTTCTCCACTGTCTTACCGTGTCCGGCGGCCCCTTCTCACACCCTGTCAGGTCTCTACCTCCCCTCGTTCTCTACGAACTTGGTGAGTGGTTCTGACCTATAGGATGGGGGGGTTGACCAGTTCACTCCTGCGAGTCAGCGAGTGACCCACTGCACGTGTGCTCGGATGGGCCGACACTTGGCCACGTTTACCCGTCGGCCGGGGTCGAGCCTGTACACACTGAGTATTGAGTCTCCTCCGGTCCCTCCCTCCTCTTTCTCCGGGGCCAGCCCCTGCCTGCGTTCCCTGCGTCGAGGGGAGGCAGCGTGCTGCTCCTCACTCCTCCGAGTTTCCTTCGACAGAGGCTCCGCTGCAGACGCTTCACATGGACGTGTGGGGCCTAGCCCGCGTCTGTGGACAGGGTCACGAGCGTTACTTCCTGCTGGTGGTTGACGACTACTCGCGTTACACCACAGTCTTCCCCTTGCGCAGCAAGGGTGAGGTCACTGAGGTGTTGATCAGCTGGATCCGCGCTGCTCGTCTCCAACTCAGAGAGAGTTTCGGCTCGGACTTTCCTGTTCTGCGTTTGCACTTCGACAAAGGCGGTGAGTTTTCCTCTGACCTTCTACAAGCCTTCTGTCGTGCACAGGACATCCGCTAGACGTTCACGCTTCCGGCCTCTCCACAGCAAAATGGGATTGCTAAGCGCCGCATTGGCATGGTCATGGACGTTGCTCGTACGTCCATGGTCCATGCGGCTGCCCCCCATTTTCTGTGGCCGTTTGCGGTTCGGTACGCGGCGCATCAGATCAACCTTCAGCCCCGGGTCTCCATGCCGGAGACCTCCCCTGCTTTGCGGTGGACCGGGAAGGTTGGCGATGCATCTTCGTTCCGTGTCTGGGGATCTCGGGCGTTTGTCCGCGACTTGTCTGCGAACAAGCTGTCCCCCCGTGCTATTCCCTGTGTCTTCCTTGGCTTCCCCTCTGACGCGCCAGGTTGGCAGTTCTACCACCCCACCTCGTGACGTGTTCTCTCCTCCCAGGACGTCACGTTTGACGAGTCGGTTCCGTACTACCGTCTCTTCCCCTACCGCACTGCCTCCCTCCCCCCGCCGCCGCTCTTCCTTGCGCCAGGTCCCCCGCCGGTAGACCCCCTTCCCCCTCAGGGTCCTGCCCCCTCAGGTGTGTCCTAGGTAGATGCCCAGTCAAGCCTGTCGAGGTAGCTGTTGACTCTGGTGCTGCTAGGGGTGCTGAGCCTGCGGGTGTGGGGTCTGGGGGTGCTGAGCTTGCGGGTGCGGGGTCTGGAGGTGCTGAGCTTGGGGGTGCTGACTCCGGGGGTGCTTAGCCTGGGAGTGCTGAGACTTGGGGTGCTGAGACTGGGGGTGCGGAGCCTGGGAGTGCGGAGCCTGAGGGTGCTGGGCCTGCTCGTGTGGTGTCTGGCGGTACTGGGCCTTGAGGTCCTTTGGGTGCTTCGTCCCGGAGGGAGCTGCTCTCTCCACAGGAGCTGCGCGAGTGGTTTGCTCGGCGCTGGAGCCATGCTGCTGGAGCTGGAGGTACTGCTGGTGTTGAAGGTTCTACTACTGCTGAGGGTGCTGGTGCCACGGGTCCCGGAGGTGCTCGTACTGGGGGTACTGTAGCTGCTGGGCCTGCGGGTGCTCCTGGTGCTAGATCTAGTGGTGCTGCTAGAGTAGGTGCTACTGGAGGTGCTGGAGCTGGAGCTGCTCCGTCTTCTTGTGGTCCGAGTGGAGCTGGAGGTGCTGGGGATGTTGGCGCTGGAGGTGCTGCTGGCGCTAGTTCTTCTGAGGGTGCTGGAGTTGGCGCTGCTGGAGCTGGGGGTGCTACTGGCGCTGGTGCTGCCGTTGGGGGTACAGGTGCTGTTCTTGCTGGTTCTGGGGGCACTGCACGGCCGCGGCCATACTTCGTTCCACTCCTTGAGCAGGTTCTTGGTCTTCCGTCCTCTCTTGGTCCTGCTCCTCTCTTAGAGTGTCCACCGCCTGTCCAGTCCAAGTCACAGTTACAGCCAGCCTCCCCACTGCCTGCTCCCTCTCCCTACACTGGTCCTACTGGATGTGAGGATCTAGGATCGAGCTCTCAAAAGAGAATGTGAATTGAATGATCACCTGGGTACAACACGAGGCTATATATAGGCTCGACACAAGGCCCCGTAACCAGGTGTTACGCGAAGGTTCCGCGGGTCGCGAAGCGTCCCGAACAGATCCTTCCCGAATTCGGTAGAAGGCAATTCAGTGGCAACCGAAAAGCCAGAATTCGGTGCACGCAACCTAGCTCGGTGCTATAACTATAATATATTATAGGAAAGCACCTAGCCTAGGAAATCAAGCAATTCATGCATGCATATAATTATCCTATGCTAGAAATAGCATGATAAAGTAAAGGCAAGCAAACATAGCTGGCATAAGCCGTCGTACTCTCACACGTCCCCCCCTCAAAGCTGGGTGGCGTGAGATACACCCTGCTTGACAAGATAGTCCTTGAGAGCACGGCGTGCGTTGCCCATATCAGCTTCTGCAACCCAACTGTCCTCAGTGGGGTCGTATCCCTTCCAGCGTATCAAGAACTCGAAGGTCTTGCCGCCACGACGCCGATGAGAGAGAACGCGCTCAATCTCGTACTCGGGTTCATCCTGTATGAGAACAGGTGGTGGTGGCGGTAGTTGCCGTCCCTGGAACTGTTGGTTGGGGTCCTTGTAGGGCTTCAGTAGCTGGACATGGAAAGCATTGTGAAGCTTCCATGTATCTGGTAAGCGCAAGCGGAATGTAACTGGTGTCACATGTGCCTCAACAAGAAAAGGACCACAGAAGCGAGGCCGGAGCTTGGATGGTAGGTGAGACAGGTTCAAGTTGTGTGTGTCAAGAAGCACCTGATCTCTGACTGCTACTGAGTGATCTCGTCGCTCACGATCGGCATACTGCTTCTGGGAGTTCTGCATCGTGGTGAGACGTCGCTGAGTCTTCTCCCATAGCTGCTGCATGGTGGTGACGAAGTCATGTGCGGCTTGGACGTGTGCCGGTGTGGTTGGCTGCTGTGGTGTGAGTGGTTCCCGTCCGTAACACAGGAAGAAAGGAGTTTTCCCTGTGGCCGCATGTGAGGCGTTGTTGTAAGCGAACTCTAGGGTCGGTAACTGTGTGTCCCAGTGGCTGACGCCATCCTTGCAAGCTATGCACAGTAACTGTTCAACCACTTGATTGAGTCGCTCTGTCTGTCCGTCAGTCTGGGGGTGGTATGCTGAAGACATTGCAAGCTTTGTCCCCAACAGTCCCATGAGCTCCTTCCAGAACTTACTGGTGAATTTTGGGTCTCTTTCTGAGATGAGTGTAGCGGGGATGCCGTGGATGGTGATGATGCGGTCGAAGAAGAGGCGCGCAGTTGCTTCAGCTGTTGCCGTGGCGTTGGTTGGTATGAAGTGACCCATTTTTGAGAACTTATCGATTACTACGAGGATGGAATCGTGCCCCCGTGAGGTCGAAGGAAGTCCTGTGATAAAGTCGAGGCTAACGACCTGCCATGGCTGCTCCGGTACGGGTAGAGGCTGAAGTAACCTTGCTTTTTTCTGCTTGCTGCTCTTCATCCGCTGGCACGTGTCGCATGAGGTGACGAACTGCTGCACGTCTGCTGCCATCCCGGGCTAGTAGTAATACTTTGCTATCCCTGCTAACGTCTTGTTGCTCCCGAAATGTCCCGCGTATGGTACGTCGTGAAACTCCTCCAATAGGATCTGCCGTAGCGGGGCGTAATTCGGTACCCAAATCTTTCCTGAACCCTTCCTTACAGCTAAGTCTTTTTCCCACTGTAACAGCTGCTTGGTCTGTGCTGTAGCGATCTCTGCGTCCAAGGAGTTACCCATGTTTGAATAGACCCTTGAGCAGAGGGTTCATCCCGTCGAGCTGGATGCCTGCTACATGTCCGGGGCGGCTCAATGCGTCTACTTTGTTGTGTGTGCGGTAGTCGATGCATATCCGTAAACTACCGTCTGGCTTTGGAGTGAAGAGGACTGGTGCACCGTAGGGAGAGGTGGATGGGCGGATCAGTTGTCTGTCCATTAGATACTCTATCTGTTTCTTCATGTCTGTCAGTTCAGTCAGACTCAGTCGGTATGGTGCACGTGAGACGGGTTTCGCACCCGGTTCCTCCACAATCTCGTGCTCGTGTGTGCGTGCTGGAGGTACGCCTGCGGGTAGGTCGTCGGGCATTATATCCTTGTACTGCTCCAAGACCTCCTCTGCTGGTGCCATAACCAGTGCTAAGTAACTCGTGTTACTCTCGTTCACTGTCCGTTCGAACCGTGCCAGTGTCGTTTCAGGAACGCTCCCTGTATCCGTCCAGCTTCGCAGCTCCACTCGTTTCCCGTTGTTGTAGATGCACGTTTTCCAGTTGACCCAGTCGATCTCGGGGTTGAACCGCTCAGAAAATCTCGCCCCAAGATGAAATCTAATCCCTTGATGTTCGTGATCGGCAACGTCGGCTTCCACCTCAACGCCCCTATGTGCAGCTGCAGTGATGCTTCGCCGTGGATGGGAAGTTTCGTACCGTCCACCATTGTTGCCGAGAACTTGGTCTCCTCCGAAAATTCTCCAATTTTCTCCAACATCCCGCGGTCGCACACCGAGTGGGACGCACCACTGTCCACCAGTGCCTAAAGGCGTCGCCCGTTGCAGATCACCTCGAGTAGTAGTGGTTGTTGCTACTGCGAGTAACCGTAGATGGTCTCGCTTATAGGATCGTAGGGTACGTCGAATATGTTATCCCTAGGTCCTGCGCTCGAAGATGCAGCTTCAATATCAGTTTTCAACTGAGAAAGGTTAGAAGGATTTATCCGAGGCCGATTCGGCTTCTCTTGGGCCTGGAACCTTCCACTAAGCCTTTGCAGCTGTGTAGGCTTCATCTGTGGGGAACAGGGAGCCTTTAATTAGTGCTGATGGGAGAGAATATTAACTCCTCGGAACGCTCGACCCGTATTAGCGCTCTGGAGTAGGGTCCCCATAATACCCGGAACCGGTTTAATTTCTGATTCTCCCGTAATAAAGGCTTGAAACCCACGAGAAGTAATATTCTTACTTGTCGGGGTATACGGCTGGAGTTTCCCGGTCGGTGGAGGGTCTTGTT